TTTCAAAGAGTTGCTAAAATCATACAGAAGAGGTTATCCGAAGATGGGGACCTGAAAGATAGAACAAACTTACCGATACAAGTAATCATGGAATTACTAGGATGCTGTGTACGAAACTGCTACTTCCAACTGAAGGACGAATTCTTTACGCAAGATGAGGGACTGCCAATGGGATCGCCACTTTCACCGCTTATAGCCAATATATACATATTTATGGAGTGGTTTGAAACTCTGGTCATTAAAGGAGCCCACAAGAAGCTCCGAGTCTGGTTGAGATACGTTGACGACATCTTCATAATATGGAACCATAGGGATACAGAACTAGAAACCTCCCTAAAGCATATCAATAGCGTAAGACTTTTTATCACTTTCACAATGAAGGAGGTACACAAAGAATTGCCATTCTTGAACATATTGGTGAAGGGGACCGACACTAAGTGGGAAACATCTGTATACCGAAAACCCACTCACACGGGACAGTATCTGAACCATGAATCCAACCACCATCAATCGACAAAAAGAGGAATCATCAAGACTCTAGTAGACCGTGCTTCAGAGCTCTGTAATTTAAGGAAGGTCTCAGGAAGGAACTATGCATAATCAAAAATGATCTTCAACGAAATGGTTACTCCAGAATGATGGTGGAACAGACTTTGGCTAAAAGACAGCCAGAGCCTCACAAGGAAGAGAATCCGTCACAACCAATACTTGCACTTCCCTACATCAGAAGAATTGGGTCCAAGTATAATATCATAACCTGCTTCAGATCCGGAAACACTATCCGTAGCAGCCTTACGAAAACCAGGCCACCAAACGCGGACTACGATTCAAAAAATTGCATTTACTGGATAACTTGCGAGTGCGGATAATCGTACATCGGTGAAACTAAGAGGGCATTGAAAGCCGCATTGCCGAGCACAAGAAACATACTCAGTGAGATCCATTAACATATCATCAATTGGTCCCAAGCTGAAATCATCCACAAGGAGAAACACTGGTTTAGGAGAAAATTCAAAGTAGCCGCATTTATATTGTCCAACAACGCTAGCGTGGAGATACGCAACATATGGAAACCCATAATCAAGCGGAAAACGTCCAACTCCCGCCAAACAGTGAGCTCCCGCTAAACCGGTGAAGCGGAATGAGGGACGAGGGGATAGGTGAGAGCAGATGAATGACCTATAAATAGTCATCTCTCGGAGGAATAAGTCCAGTCATCATCCGAAGATCTTGTGGATACTAACAATCGAAACGTCTTGAAGTAACTTGGCTTGAAATCTTTAAATTGTTATTATTTTTTTTCAATTTTAATTTTTTATTTCTTGTTAACTATTTACTTTTCAATTGTTGCTTGTATTTATTTTATTGTAATTTCAGTTCAAAGTTTTTTTAATTTGTTTTTCCGTTAACCATTCGAAACTTGTGCGAGCTAAGGATTAACGAGGTATTACCTGTTAACGTGTGATTCCTAACGCGGTTCCTATTCCTAATCGTTATTTTCAGCTATTCGTTTTAATTTTTTTTATTCTTTTAGGGATTTCAAATATTTTTATATCGTATTATACAATCAAAGTCCGAACTAATGAAATGCACCATATGAAGCATTATCAACCACCTTCAAACAAATATCTTTGTTGCACTTGTCCACCATAAGCAACGTTTAAAAGGTACATGTCTTGTACAACTGGGTCTACAAATACGAAAAGTGTTTTGCCGTTTACAATCGATAAAGAAATAGCCACAGGCCGACCTAGATTAGGGGAAGATGATGTAATGTGAATATCATTTCCTACTACAATCAATCGTTGCTGAGACTTTGAGATGGTAGCTTCGTCCTCGCAGTTAACGCATACCACTGAGGATTTCTGCCACAGTAGCACACAAATCGTTTGGTACTACAATACGATTTCATTTTACATTTTACAGATTTGGTTTTCTCTAATTGTGACTCTGACCTTGAAAGCCTAGCTTATTTTATCATTTTCTACTGTTTTTGCAAAATTGAAATATAATATGGTTATTCATAAGTTAATTTGACGAAGCAAGCTCTGAATGATGATAGACTAGAATATCGGGGGATTTTGCGAACTTAGTCTTTTCAAAAAAGCCTTTATCGTATCAATAAATCCTTCCTCGACGAAGGAAAAAAAATATCTAAGATAATGTTTGTATTGTAGTGAACAAAATACGAGTAAAAACAAATGAATATCAGGTGTAACATCGCAGAAAAACTTATGCAGCAGTTGTCAACTCAAATTTTAACAGATCTGATTTAAGGAAGGAGCATACTACCCTTTTTGAGTACTGAACTAGACTCAAAAAGAAACTACCTACTCTGTGTCAGGATACAAAAAAGGATGCACCTTGATAGTAGTTTTCATTTTAAATATTCCAACAACAGAGAAACTATGTAGGTACTTTTAAGTATAGAGTGTTTATAGCAGAATGGTTCTGCTTAGAATCATTTCTGTAAAAAGACTGAGACCATAATAAATAGGGATTGAAGTGTTTCTCTCTAGGGCATTCCCCATGAATTTTCAACATTCAGCGAGATAACTAAAACTCTGGTATCAAGTTGGAACCAAATCAGCGAAAACCCGCTTGAAGAAATTTTTTATTCGGGCAACAGTCGGAAACAGAGTGATTCACCGAAACTTTTCAGGGTAATAGTTTCAACACCCTAGTCTACCGTAATCCTGTGATTGGTATGGGTGCCTCAGACCGCTATGTATTTGCTATCACAGCATGTCCAGAACACGAGTATTCTGTATCAGCTTATATTTACCGACATCTGCACTACCAACTCCCACACTCCTAGGGTATTGTTCCAGGGGATATCAAACTGATTCTGGGGGATAAGAAGTGCAAGATATAAGCTTATACGTCTGACGATTCTCTTCGATAGTCACAGTAAGTCGAGATGAATATCGATTTGAAAATTGAGGAAAAACTGTTGTTTGTTGTGATTATGAAAGTCTTAGTTGAAGTTATGCCCTAGCCACTCTCGAACATCAAGGTAATACTGGCTTGCCATAAACTGTTTCATACTTTCCTTACGAGACATGGATTTTGCCATTTGAATTTAATGGCTCAAACAAAATTGAAAGTTATTTCGTTTTTTCTAGTTGAAGAACTGGTATGTTTAGCAACATGGAAAGAAGGCTCGACTAGGTATTTGATAGGTAAAATATCCCAGTTTAACAGAAGAAGTGTATCAGATGAGGACCAATACAGATGTTTTATATACCAAAGAAGCATGGAAAATGGAAAAACTATCTACAACGTTGCTCAGTCTGGTGATGCCACTTGTACGGGCCTTGATGCCACTGCTTTTGAAGGAAGTAGAACCATGAAATTAACCACAGGTAAGATATAATTGATATGTGATAAATAAGTATTTTCGTAATTGTCCGATTTCTGAAATGTTGAAAACCAAAAATCGTATATTCTTCTGCAATTCAACCGAATATTAGACATTTTACGGTACTATATTCCAAGAACTATTAATATGGAGTTACTAGTCATTGTGAATTTGTTACTTTCTTCAACTCAACAGTATTTTTAAAAAAAGGACATATTAACCTAATACTTCCTTATTTCAGTGGACGATCAACATAAAAGGTGCAAGTTTCCTATTTGGATAACCGATCATCATACTTGGCTGAGTTTAGACCACCATAAAACTTACCGATTCTCCCAAAGAAATGCTACTTTAAAAATAATGGACGACGATCCACCGAAACCTAATAAGGTTCAACCAAATTTCGCTCAAGCATTCGCTTTCGAAGAATTTGGTTTCCAATCTCAAGATCAGAAGAGGCAAAATTCTGAGATGAGGGTTGTTTGCCATGGAATTCTGCAGCAGCAGGAGCAAAAGCAAGTACAGATTGTGGCTCATATCACTGCAGGATGGTGAGTTTTAATTTTTAAAATTTGCATATACAAACTTACATAAAGTACAAAGTTAGATACAGTTAGTACATATGAGACTTGAAAATTGTTCATCTCAACAAATGGTGATTTCTTTTACTTTGTAAGGAAGAACTAGAGTGTTTAGTTAGGTTTCAAATATCGCGAATCAGATACTTATTGTGGAAAAGTAAATAAAAATAATTTATACTTTTTTGACAAGAATAATATACAATATAAATTTAACTATTACCTACTCTCAATTAATTTTTTTTTCAGTGATAGCGGCTATGTCTGTATGGTTTTTTACAAAAGGGATTCAAACGTTATCGAAATTCAACAAACGGGTAATTTTTAAACAGAGCTTTCAGGAGAACTAGATACTAATTCATATTTTTTACTTTCAGAAAATTATGTTGAGAATCCTGACGAAGCGTGTGCGAATTTTGATTCAACTTCTGCACCATTTACTACTCTGATAAGTGAGTTTTGTTCAATATAAGACAGTCAAATATATCAAAAATGCTGTATTACTTTCAATAAGTACCTACTTCATTTATTTCAATCACTGTCTTGAAATGCTGTATCACTTTCAATACTTCATTTAATTCAATCAATGTCTTAAAATCAAAAATAAATTCAAAATACCATTTTTGGTGTTTTCTTATTATATATTTTGAGCTGTAGTTTATAGCTTGAATATTTCCTGCCAAATCAAGGCGTAAATTTTACAATCGAAATTGTTTTTCAGCAACAACTCTCCATCCGAAAAAGTGTCCCCATCTAGGTCGATATACTGTGACAAGTATTTCACCTCAAGCGGAAAAAAGGAAACGTAGGCAACTACCAGGTAGTATTAGGAATTTCGAAAATTACTGAAATATTTGTAATGGTTGACTCTTTTTAGAAGGTAAAATTACTCCAGCTGATCCTAAATCTGACTGTGTGTCTGATGACTATGAAACATTATCAGTTGGATGTAGTGGATCTCATGAGATGGAATTCCGATCGGGTTGCTCTCAAGAACCTAATGGTGAGTTTCAACTTGTTGAAAGAAATTATTTCATTGTTACCAATTACATCAAATCTTACTCAAAAAAAAGTCTTTTGATTGTTTCAACAACAAAAACAATGAAAAATTATTAATAAGGCAAATATCTTATACATTGAAGAACTAGAGCTTTATCGTCCCTTATTTGAGTATATTCAAAACGTTTTTTCATTACACCCGAACATCGGTCAGGGGATGACTGAAACTAAATATTTCAGCTACATTAAAGTTTTTATAGACACCTGGACCAACCATCACCTTATATAATTCTTAATTCTTATAGTATCTTCGGTATTGTCTGAGTGTGAAAAAATTTCAAGAATGCAAACATACCGGTACATCAAAGAAAGCAACATAGGTGTCTCAAGCAAGTGGCACTGTAATTCATCCACAAAGTCACTGAGATATTTCTACCCACTATGCCTTAAAAAATGACTTGTGACAAACAACATCAAAAGAGGCGGCCGACGGTTTTTCTTATATTGCGTTAAAAATAGCGATAATAGCCGTCGGACTGGGGATATTAATATAAATTTTACAATGATATATTCTGTATAATGCAAAGATAATTGAAATATCGTGAAAACTATATTTGTTTAAATATTTCATTTTGTGGACAATTTATATTTGAAATAGTTTTTTATTTAGGATTCTTACCCTCTACAGATCTATAAAGTAATCAGAATATTATATTTAAAAATAAATACAAATGTAGAAAGGGCAAAAAATTACTGCATTTGATAAATTGGCGTTTCAAAAAAAATTTTATTTTCCAGTAACATGAATTTATAAAATTTGGCATATAATAATACTATGTATCTGGTGACGTTTTAAAGACTATCCATTTTCTTTATCCAACCTATTTAAATCAAAACATTATAATTTGTAGTTATATTCGTCTTTTGATGTAAATCATTATTATCATCGACACCTATATTATCAAATTGATCGTAGGTTTGATAATGAAGATGGATAAAGTCTTCGATACGTCAACAAATGAGTATACTCATCTGGTGACAAGTATGAGTATACCCCGTTAGTCCATTGCTCACACAAGTTTCGACTTCTGAGGGTTATTGTTCGTAAAAGGACGATACCTGGTTAACAGTAAAACACATTTAAAACATATATGTGTGTATGTGGAGGGTAACAATCCCAAATAAGAAACCCTGTCAAAAATAAGTGAAAGCTAGCTAAACGATTTCTTGTTGGTTTGGAAATGAAGATTTACTTTTTTTACTGGATTTTATAGTTGATTCAGAAACAATTTTATAGATTTAATGGGAATACTTACATCGAATAAGATATTGCGTTGAGTGATTCTTCACTAGATAAATCAGTTTCATTAGGATTGATGACAACTGGAATTAATTTTTCTGATAATGACTCTATGCTATTATCCAGATCCCACATCTCTGCCTTCAATTCTGATTGTTTTATGGATACATTTTTCCCAAGCTTCTTGGTCGACTGTTTCCAGAGCATTGTATAGGCATTTCTTTACTTTACACAGTTTGAAGGTCTTGTTATTTCTTGCGATGAATCCTTTGACTTGAGCCCAAACTAACTCTATTGGATTCAAATCACAGTGATAAAGCGGCAACCGAAGAACCGATATTCCTTAAGTCTTTGCCATCTCATCGGTGACATACTTGACACAAATTTTGGCTCATGACGTTTAGCCAAGTTGAGGAGCTCCGCTTTTATCATGGTTGATTCGAAAGGAAAAGCTTTCATTTGTAACCACTCAGTGATATTTACCTTCCTCCAACACGATGTCGGAAGCTTCTCAATTCGTTTACTGTGGTAAGTTGTGTTTCGGACGTTTCACGGTTACCAAACAACTAGCTTCCATGTTGTACAGCTTTTTTTTAACGGGATCTCGAACTAAACTGAAGAATATCACGACCAAACCCTCTACCATGACCTTTAAACATCCAACAGAAAATAATATAATATTTTCTTCCTATGGAAATAGCCAAGTCTGTCCTAATGATGGGTGCAGTGTGTCTGTTGATGGTAAGGAATATCTATTTATACAGCCTTCAAAAAAACAATGTTTTTTCAATCCCCTTCAACTAAATACTTATTTGTTGGAGAATGTCTTGATTACTACTGGACATATTTTCACATTTGTTGTAGTTGATTCGTTATTTTGTTATGAATGAGATTTTTCAAGAATATTCATTTATTCAATTCGTTGAGGAGTAAATGATTTTAATGCAGAACGCCTACTGCTGTTTCTCTCATTTCTGGACATTAATTGAAAGTAAATATCAGGTATCATAACATGTAGTTATTAACATATAATTCAGCAATTATAATATAATAACAAAATAACATTATAACTTATATGAATAAATCATTTTCATTTAACAATCTTTTATGTAAGGTGACGGTTCGTCCAGATGTATATGAAAACACTAACATGGCTGTAAGATTTAGTTTTAGTTATCTCCTGATGATGCTAACTTAGTCAGCGAAACATCCGTCAAGAGTCAGTATTTTTGTTCTGGTGTCGAAAAGGTGATCTGAATAGATTTATTTTACACCAAAGATTACAATACTCCCTATCAAAGAATAACAATCTATCCACTTATTTGAATACATTTACATTTGAATACATACATTTTTCAAAAGGAATAGAAGGAGATAAATTAGTATAATTTCATTGTAATGAAAGATTTTCTTATTTATTAATGTTTGATTTTTGGAGTTTTCTCAATACAAAATTGTAAATTAAATATGGTGGGCTCTCATGATTTTGACAAAATTCAGTTATGATGATTTGTTAAATCTAAGTGATAAGTGGAATATTCAAAATTATGGCATTAGTCTCTTGAAGTTACAAGGTTGTTAAATGTTGTCATCATAGCAGATTCTGGTCGGTAACACAAAAAACAATTTGTCAAAAACAGTAAAGGACTCGAGGTGAGTTTGAAATTTAAAATATAGATGATAATAGTAGCATGAACTAGCGATTTGTCACGACTTTTCATGGGTAGCACCGTCGCTCCGGCATATTTTAAACACATGAACCTTCCTCTTGAATCTGATTAATACATTTCCTAGAAGCAAAGTATGAGTTTTTTTGGGACATTTTATAAAAATAACTTATTGGCACTACTTCAACTACCTTTTTAATGTTCTTAGCATATTCATGTCACGGAAGTTGGGAAGAAAATGGCATATCATATGTAATTACAACCCCTGTGGCAAGGAAGTCGACTGATGCTCTTCGTTACTGCTTCATATATACTTTGGCCGACCAAGCAAATTCAGGAATTATAGAGGGAAACCTAGGAAAAGGTGTGGGACCCCCCATTCTGAGGCTCTCGGGCATATCTGAGAGCTGTCACAGATCTATAATACCAGGTGTTACTGGCAATTGGGCCTTCAATTTCACCAGTAACGGTGAGTTGTCATTTTATTATGATTATTGTTTATTTTAGTTAAATCATAGTGTTTAAATAATACTCTGAAAAAATACAAGAACTTCATTAGGTTGTAGAAACATAAAAAAAATTGTTTTTTTAAATACGTTTTCACTAGCATTGAAATTAGGGTCCGTTTTTTATCAATCATCACTTGATTAGCGCTAAATTATTTTTTCCTTTTGTGTTTGTAATATGTAATTATGTCTATTCAATTTTTTCAATATCATATATAATTTTCACTTATTTTACAAATAATTAAGTATTATATTTCTGTTTTATGGGTTTTTGGATTTTCTTTAGACTTCATCTGCTATAAATCTGCATATTGAATTAAAATAGCACCGTCTGGTATTGGGTCACTTTTGTACAAGATTATTTCAATTGAAGAGAGGCAATAACTACTGTTATAAAATAGTTCTTCGATTTTTTCTGCAGGTACATGTGCTGAAAGTGATCAAACTAACTCAAGTCAGCTGTTGCTCCCAACCCTTGTATTGGTCATTTTGTCCTTGATTTCTGTGATCATTATGAGATGATGAAAGAAGGCTATTCTGCATACTCTGTCTGAGTACTAAGTGTTCTCACGGCCATGTTAAGAACAATGATCGACATTAGTGGAATTTTATAAATCGCCCGGGTTAGAAGGTATATTGCATCTGAATCAAAAAATGCAGAAAAGGAATTAAAATAATTATCAAAACTCATTCATAGCAATGTTGAAGAATTTAGGTATTGTTTTAGATAGGTATTCAAAAAAGTTAACAAAAAGATCTTATGAAAGGTTTTTTAATTCCGAAGCAATATTACCATAACAGGTAGCATTTTTATGTTGAATTTAATATGCTGCAGCTGTGAATTGGGAAGTGCTGTTTGTGTGATTCTTGTTAGGCTTTGTGAAATATGAAATTTATTTATTTTTACTCAAATAACGGACAGTTGTGTACATTGCTGTAAAAAATATTATAGATGACATTGTGAAATGTTCTCAGCCACAATATTTTTTGAAAAATCTGACATAGAGCTTATGATACAACGAATATGTTTATAAACGTTTTTCTTGCCAATAATGAGTATGTGGTTGAAATCATTTCAATATATTACTTTTAGGTTACTTACATTTCATTTATTTTCTGGTCAGCACAAATTGTTTTCTTCCTTTGTATTTCTTATTTGGTATGACGTGACTATTAACTGTGATTATGATGAGGCAGCATGTTAAAAAAAGCTAATTGTAGTTTTTATTTTGCTTATTCTCCATCGATAATGTCAGTATATCTTCCTGAAATAAGAACTGTGAAATGACCACTGTTGATATATTGAAATATATGTATTTTATACATTTGAAACTTATCACTTTGGTTGTTCAAGAATGGATACAATATTATCAATCTCCAGCATCCAGAACTAGAAAATCAAAGTGGTTGTTCAATTGCTTTAATTATTTTTTGTTTTTAATATACATGTAGATGTTGCCTCCCTTAAACATAAATTATTCTAAATATGTCTGAGAATCAGTTGTCTCTAGTAAAAATACCAAATAGTTAGATAGGCATTTTATACTAAAGTCGGAATTCTCATTACAATAGTTTAAAATTTTTATATATTTGGTACTTGATATTGCCAAGATTCTCGTATAGAGTGGCCACAGTTTAGTCAAAATCCAATTTCCAATACCCACCTAAGAATAAAATTTAGTAAACAACACTTTGGGAATTGACTAAATGAGCTGAAAGATGGATTTACAGAAATAATAGGAAAGAGGTATATTTTAACAAAAATGTAAAGAATGTACATATTTGATAGTGACAGATTAGAAATATAAAAATGTTGAAGGAGAGAAGAATATTGGATATTATACAGGGTGACTAAAAATAATCGAAGTTAGTATGCAAACACTTCGACATTTTTGGATACATCTTGTGTATTTTGTTTAAGTGTATTGCAAATTTTGTTATGTAACTGACACATTTTCTCACACAGCCAATTTTTGTGTAATATAATGTTTATATAAATCTATAGCCACAGTTTTGAATGAAACATATTCATAAATAATATTCACCTCTCAGAATAAAATAAAAATGTTTCACAAGTTGTCGATAGTATTGAAAATTCAATAAGTAACATCGCTATGAGGTGAAATTCATACTCTAAAAATCAATATAGGACTTTATCTCCATTACTTCTGAGCTTGAAGAAGTAAGCCTCTTCTATTATTTGTGGGAAATATACTTCAACATTTGAAATTTAAAAGAGTTGGTCAAGTTTTCCATTTGAACAACATGTATGAAATATCTAAAATGAAACATCGTTTATTAATTTGAAAAACATTCTTAAGTCAATGCCTTCTTTTTAGAGTTCACTGTATGGATAACGACGTGATTGAATATCTAACTTTTATGAATATGTGACTGATTCTTTTTGTATATTATTGTACATATGTGTTGATAAGTGTTTTTATTTAATTTTTATAGTATAAAAATGTAAGAAGAAACAGTATTGATACTGATTTTTGATACAGCATGAAATGATTTCGAAAATAATTTTATTGACGTTTTTCGAAATTGTTTCTTATATATTGTTCATCATATGTCGCCATTATTTTCTGAAGAATTATTTTTACACACTGTATTTTCGATTTTTGAACTTCTTTGCCATGATATAATCAGTGTGACTAAGTTTCTGCAATTTTCAATAATAGTGTGTCCAATGTTTGCTTATCTATTATAAGGGTTATAATTACTATATTTTGACTATGAAAAATAAAAGGAAATACATACTCATTTAATTTTTTTTGTACCCTTTTCAAAAACGTCGATTTTTCCGCAATTCAATTGGTGAGAGACCAAAAATAATTTCTTCGCTGACACAATTTTTGTTTTTCTGAATTTCATGTGATAAATTAATTTATCAGTAAAAAATTGAACCTAATATAGAAATCAAAATCATGGAAACTGTATGGAGGAGAGACATAGTATTGCAGAATGAGAAACATCTGCAAGGAGAAAGTTGGACGATCTAACGTCACTTTCCCTCAATGGTGAGGTCATTCCATTTGGAACAGAGGTGAAATATCTTGGCATTGTCCTTGATAAAAATCTCACCTAGAACGCAAAGTTTTACATAAATCCAGACTGTCCCTATGGACATGTTGAAGGATTTGTGGTAAAACTTGGGGGTTAGGTTCCAAACAAATCCATTGGATATATGTGATGTTCGTCAGACCAATGATCACTTATGGGACAATTACCTGGTAGCCGAAGGCTTTACAGAAAACGGATCAGACGAAGCTCTCTGGCTTACAGAGGCAGGCTTATCTGGCTATCTGCGGTGCCATCAGTACCACACCATCAGCGGCTATGGATATCCTTCTAGAACTACCTCCTCTCCACATTTTTCTGAAGAGAGATGCTAGATGGATTGCATATAGACTTGTGCACATCGCCAGTTGCACAAAGCAATCTAATGCAGAGTACTCTAGACTGCTGGCTGACACTGGAAGTCACAGCTTTCTGAGAATTACCTCTGACACACAATCCTTTTCCCAAGTAGAAAAAATTGTATTCTTCGGGAGAAGGAAATTTCGAAAGCAGATAGTTATTGATTTCAAAAACTACACCTCAACGAATTGATCTCCACAAACTTTATTTGAAAAATATATCACATGTTTCACTAAGACATTAGCTTTTTCAAGTCACAAATCACTTGAAAAAGTTTTTACTTCGATTATTTCTATTTCTCAACTTCTTCGACAGATGAGAAGACATTTTGAAATTTGATTGTCTCCTGAAATATTCGATGTAGTACAAGATGTTCCCCGATATCAATCTGTTGCTATTTCGTCACTATCCATACTTTTCTTCAGGGTGGGTAGCCAAATACGATCCATTTCCATTTCTGGAGGTGTCCGAAATATACTTCTCTCCAGATATGATAATATACGCTGAGTCTTCAAGTTTATATCTCTTAGAGTGAGGTTCATTGGCAATCCAAGGACATGGCCAAGATTATATATGGGGGGAGTACATACATTAAATCAGATTATATAGATCTGATTGTTGTTTTTAACATATGAGTTTTAAATTTTACTGGAGTTTTTTCCCATCACCAAATCGTTATTTTTAACACCTCGACACGTGTTTCGATCACCAAGTGATCATCTTCAAATAGGAAGACTCCAAGACATGACCATTTAAAGTGTAATTAAAAGTGGAAGAACATACATGGGATCGATAAAAGCGCATGACATGGCACTTTGTGGCATCCAAGTCCATGCCATTTAAGGAGCAAAAGATTGTCAAGGTCAGGCTAAAGCCTATGGGCATCCAATGAGGTTTTAATAATTGTAGCGATAATTTGCTCTAACCATTTGAGTCCTATTCGTAGGATAACTACTAATCTATTCCAGTAGTACCCCACCTTCACCATATCTGTTGAGCTTTTAGAGTAAGAGGATATGGTTAACCCTGTCAAACGCCTTAGAATCAATCTGGCAGCCCTTCTCTAAAGATTCCGACAAAAAGTGGGAATAGGTAACTAGGTTTAATTCAGTCAATTTCCCAACACAAAAACCATATTGTTGTTCAGTTATGATGCCAGATTGCCAGAGCAATCATGGGTAAGGTGATCTGCCAGAATGGTCTCGAATATCTTGGGAATTGTACTGAGAATAGATATCGGTCGGTAATTATTAACGTCCGACTTAGTACCCAGTTTGTATATGGGGTGACATAAGATTGTTTCCAATAATCTGGAAACACGCCTGAATGGATAGATTTATTGAAAATATAGAAGAAACGGCGAGACACAACGAAACTGCAATACGAAACTGCAATACCAAAGTATGGCGAATCCGGTAAGGAGTTGAACGCATATAGTTACACCGGGTATATTCCAAATAGCTGGGTATATTAATTGGTTAAGGTATGGAGTTTGGAGTAGCTTGGCTTCAGTTTGAAGTTCTCGTATGGACTGGAAATTGATTGACTTCAGTATCAATGGCTTATTTTCGTGTTGGTCACCATTAGTTTTGGAAGCCATATTCTTTCTCAGTTTGGAAAGAATAAGTGGGTTTCCCAAAATAATTTCTTCTTCGTTTTTATAGGTAAAGTTTTTCACAATAACACTGCAGCCTTGTGGAATTTTCAGAAGAGTATTTGTTTCGATTCTGTGTACACTTCTTTTCTCGCAATCCGCTTGGGCTATAACGGATTCACTGTATGGCAGGATTAGGATTAGGAGAAATCGGTCATTAATTTCTTCTATGATAAAAACCCCAATTGCCTGACTTCATTCGTCAGGCAATTGGGGTTTTTATCCTTCATCAGAGCAATAATACAGGTGTCGATTATAGTTTCGTCGTGATGTTGGCACAGGAACACGCTATCTATTTAAGGGCATGGTTTATCTTCAGACTGGTGAAATTCGGTACCGAATATAAGGAAAAGTTTATAGGGGGTGATGATTGTATTTTGGTATGGTAAACTAATAAGATTATAGGTTCGGAAGTCGTCTTCTAGGCAAATTGGTTTATGTATTGCAAAAATAATTTTGTATTTCTCAATTTTTACTCGAGTTCCTGCCAACTGGTAATAAAGGTATGCATTTTGAGTTTTGAGGATCTTTTTATGACCATAGATATTGATCATGTGTTCGATAGCACTTACTAAATCATTTAGTAGAATTACTGAAAGATGGAGATAACCTAAGTTGGCGAACATGATTGCATTTTCTAAATTGTCAAGGAATGTTATCAAACTTTGGCAATTTTCTATTATTTGGTTAAAGGACCCCAAGGATGCAAAATAAGAATATAAATTATTAGTTCGGTTATTGAGATCTTCTCTTAGTTGGAGTTCATCTCTCAATAGGATTTGATTATCGTGAAGTTCGGTTATGGTTTCATTATAGTTTTTGATCAGTTTTTGATTAAAAGAAGTCTGTAGTTTATTTTGATGATTGAGAGAATTTTGATTTTCTAATAGTGTTTCAATTTGTGAATCGTAGTAGCAGATTACAGCCGTTTCTGCCCCCTCCCCACACTATGACGTATTAATTGCTTTTTTTGTTTAGTAAAATCAAGGCGATGTGACCTTGAAGTGTCTGGTGCATGGATCATTCAGAATTTTTTTCATATGAGATTTTGTGTGTGTGTGACATAATGACGGAATTACATTTGGTTGGTGTGTGTGTGTGTGTGTGTGTGAGAGAGAATGCACGGTACAGGGTTTCATCATGTGCTTGTATATGTAGAAACATACGTCTGCATACTTCAAAAATCCTCCAAGAAATGAATGTTCCATCGGTGTGAGCCCACCAAGTTAGTAGTGGTGTGACGTCACAGCAGCAACCGTTTAACGGTAAGAGAGCGAGATGTTCACTCCACGGCGTGTGGCTGAGTAATGCGTATTCATCGGTGTGTCCTCACCTCTCTCTCGATGAGGCGATGCTATGACGTAACACATCGCTCTACCCTCGCTGTCGATGGTGACGCGCAGGCGGCAAGTACTTTGTTAACGTCTGCCCTCTACGAGAGCGCAACGAGCACTGTTTGTTCGTATCGACATCTGTTAACGCGTCCAGCTGGGAGGTTGGGTTGGCGCATGTAGCTGAGAGGTAGGGTTGGCTATGACGTCTTGACGGACACGTTCAGACTGTATTTAAGAAGCGGACGAGTTTGGTTATGTCAGTTTACATCAAAGTATCATAGAAAATGTATTCCTATAACTGTGGTAAATCTTTCACTCGTAGTGATAACCTTCGTCGGCATCAGCTCCAGAGTTGCCAAGGAGGGCCTTCAGTGAAACGGATGAGAGTGGACAATGCAACACTTATGTATACATCCAATTGTTGTAATGTGACAATTCCTATGACCAAGTGAACTCTCAGCGAAGAACCATGAGTCATAAAAATAATGCATGTGTTCAATTGTCTTCGGACAATTGAACACCTTCAGGTGTTCAAATTATAACGAATGCATTCAATTGCCGCATTGCTAGATAGAGGGTGGAGAGTTCCGTTATATCCACTGACTACATGTCATTTTTCAATGAAATTAGGCAGAAGGTCATTGAATTACTGGAATCGGCATTCAGGATCCATAAAAGCATCAAGGTGAATATGGAAGTTTTCGGGAATTAAATTCTTCAGACTCAAGATTCGAGGGACACGAAGTCATTTAATTCCCAAAATAAAATAGTGGACCAATCTTCAGATTTGAATGCTGTTTTTGATGGATTCCGTGATGTAATTGTGGCTCAAACGACTGAATTCCAGGAACGTGACTCAGGTATTTATTTTTTGTAAATTTCAATGAGATTGAATAGTAATATTTTTTTTTGTAATTTAGGTTGGACTTGTGAAAAAATAATGTTTCTCGAGGTCAACATTAATAAATACAGTCCACTGGGAGGACGTTCATATGTGAAGCTGCCCGAATGCATTGAATGGAGGAAAGCTGTCGTGAATGTTCGTAACGAAGATCAACAGCATTATATCCTGCAAATGGTAGAGTGAATTATCTCACCACCTAGGACAATCCCGCTGATCTAGCAGTACCACCACCCTGTTCCAGATGCTGACAAGACAGTTCTCACAGGAGCGCACATCTTCGAAGCTTCGCATCCAGAATCAGTCAGATTTTATTCATCAAACCAACAAGACGTATAATTTCATATATTTTGTATTTCTGTAATTTTTCATTTTCAAGTTTGTAACAATAAAAGTATTTTTTTAAAAGCAAGTTTAGTGCCGTCGATAGTTAATTGGCGCAGTCGACAGTAGG